CCCACTTATCCATGGATTTCATTGTAGACCTGCCTCTTTCTGATGGTCAGACGGTGATACTGACTGTGACGGATAGGTTCTCTAAAATGGCGCACTTTATTCCGCTTAAGAAACTGCCTTCTGCGGTTCAGTTAGCTCAGGTGTTTGCCAAAGAAGTGTTCCGATTGCATGGGGTACCTCAGGATATCGTATCTGACAGGGGTCCTCAATTTGTCTCTCGGTTCTGGAGGGGCTTTTGTGCTGAGATGGGGGTCTCCTTGTCGTTCTCTTCCTCCTATCACCCGCAATCTAATGGTGCGGCCGAACGTGCTAATCAGTCTGTGGAATTGTATTTGCGCTGCTTCACTAATGCGCACCAGGATGACTGGTCTCGCCTTCTTCCGTGGGCTGAATTTGCCAGGAATACGGTGTCTCATTCGTCTACTGGCTTAAGTCCTTTTGAGGTTGCTTATGGGTTTCGTCCTTCTGTCCTTCCCGGTGCGTTCTCCGACAAGGGAATGCCCGCCTTGGACCAGCACCTCGCCTCTTTGCGGAAGACGTGGGATCAGGTCCATGTTGCGCTGTCTCGTTCAGCAGCTGCTCAGAAAAAGTTTGCTGATCGCCGTAGGGTTGCGGCCCCTTCTTATGTTCCGGGTGATAGGGTATGGTTGTCCTCCCGGAACCTCCGTCTCAAGGTTCCCTCGATGAAATTTGCCCCCAGGTTTCTTGGTCCCTTCAAGGTGTTACGTAGGGTTAACCCCGTTTCCTACTCCCTTGATCTGCCTCCTTCCATGCGTGTCCCGAACACGTTTCACGTCTCGCTTTTGAAGCCCTTGCTGTGTAACCGGTTCTCTCGTCCCCTCGGGCGGCCCGTTTCCCCTCGAGCTGTCTCTGACGACGTGTACGAGGTGGCTGCCCTTCTCGACTCTCGTGTTTCTAGGGGTCGGCTGCAATATTTGGTGGACTGGAAGGGGTACGGCCCTGAGGAGCGGTCCTGGGTTTCGAGCTCCGATGTGCACGCTCCCTCTTTGGTCCGCTCCTTTCATGCCCGCTTTCCTTTGAAGCCTTCCGCTTCCCGCCCCCTGGGCGGTCTTCGAGGGGGGGGTAATGTCAGGTCCCGCGGGCGGCTGCGAGGGGAGGCTGCACTCCGCTCGCAGTACTCACCCTCCAGCCGTCCGCGGTCCCCTCCGCCTCGTGGGTACGGCGAGCGGCATCCTTCCAGCCTCGGATGCCGCCCGCCGTTCCCTCCACGTCCCCCAGCGGCAGCATACATGACGCTGCACGCTGGGAGACCGCCCAGGTTTATACACGCCGGGGTCAGTCACCTGACCCGGCGTTAAAGGCACAGTGCCTCAATCACAGTGGGAGGTCTAGATATCTCCCACGTGTGATTGTTAATTCTGATTGGAAATTATCCAATCAGAATTAACCTTATGGTTTAAATACTTACCTTTCCTGTTCCTCCCTGCCCTGTTGTGGTCTTTGCTTTCTGTATTGCTACTTACCTTGTGCTTCTGGTTACGTACTCTCTGGCTTGTTTATCTGACTCTGTGACTTTCTCCTACCCTTTGACCTCGGCTTGTTTCACGTTATTCTGTCTTCTGGTTCCCCTTACTCGGCTTGTCTCCTGACTATTCTGTGTGTGCTGAGCCCGGCCACTCTAAGGTCCGGTACGGCACCTTTTGTGTGTGTGTGTGCCAGCGTGTTGGGTTCCCCGAATCGTGACACGGCATGGCCGAAGTACAATACCTCGGCCATCGGGTAGGATGTGGCAAGCAGAAGCCAGAACCAGCCAAGGTAGAGGCTGTAGCTCAATGGCCTACCCCTAGGACTAAGACTCAGGTATTAGCGCTCCTAGGAACGGCTGGGTACTACCGGAAATTTGTCCTGAACTATAGTGCCCTGGCCAAACCCCTCACTGACTGAACCTTCCCCGCCAAGTGACCTGGACCCCGGAGTGTGAGCAGGCATTTCAGCTGTTGAAAGATGCATTGACCAATGCCCCTGTCTTGGCAGCTCACAATCCAACTATACGTTTTCTTGTTCACACAGACGCTTCTATGTTTGGATTGGGAGCAGTACTGAGCCAAGTCGGGGCCGATGGCGGAGAACATCCCGTGGCTTACATCAGCCAGAAGCTGTTACCTCGAGAAGTAAGCTACGCCGCCATCGAGAAGGAATGCCTGGCTGTGGTGTGGGCCCTGAAGAAATTACAGCCGTATTTGTATGGACAAGCTTTTTCCCTGCTCACGGATCACAACCCGTTAGTCTGGCTAAACCGGGTGGCTGGGGACAATGCCAGGCTGCTGCGCTGGAGTTTGGCACTGCAGCCCTTTGACTTTAATATCCAGTACCACCCGGATAAACAGAATGGAAACGCTGACGGGTTGTCAAGACAAACTGACCTAGAGAAATGATCTGTGAGCCTCCCCGGACATCCCCAAGCCGATCCGTGTGGGATCAGACTGTGTATGCCGGCTTGTGGGCAAGGGGGAGCAGTGTAGCGGATGGCCCTGTGCTGTCCTGAGCAATTTATGTATTTCTATGCATTCGTATGAAAATGGTAAAGTCTATGTATTTGATGTATTGGATTCTTCTGAATGTTAGGTAGTTTCATTCCCTTAGTTTGTTCGAATGAAACTACCGAACAGTCAGACCTCCCCTGTGTGAAGTGTGTTCTCAATTACCCGTTGCAACATTGTTGCGAACGGGTAATTGGCAAGTGAAGTAGCCGTCCTTTGTTCTCGGGGGTGGCCGCCATTCGAAAAACGAACACGTGGCGGCGGCCATTTTAAAACTCCCGAACAGCGGTGTTTTGCCGTCGAGTGTCTGGAACTCAAATCGGACACTCGACTAGGCGAACACCGCTGAAACCTCCACAAGCCCGGTCCGTTCGGTTCCTAACTACCGAACGGCCCCTCGTTCGGTAGATAGAAAGAACCGAATGAGGGGATTCAGGCAAACCCTCCCTAGCCTCTATAGCTAGAGGCTTTCGTGCAGTTTGTTCCCTTACTCCAGAACCGACCACAGGGCCCATTCGCATGGAACCGCATTCGGCTGTCTCAGTCAGTGCGGTTGGTCATTTTATTCCCTCCATAAATTTCCCGAACCCCTGGTCTGATCTGGGTGATTTTTGGATATGTTGTTCACCCAGATCAGGGCTATCAGGGGGTGTAGGATTTAAAGGGGTACATCCAGAAACGGGGGGAATTGCTAGACTGGATAAGGAGATTATGATTCAGGCTGAGGGGAGGAGATGTGTGGGAGGTTACCAGGACAGGATTGGCTACTGTACTAATGATTGTAAATCCCTCCCTTGCATGGGAGCATGCTTTAAAAGGACAGTGTGGATTAAAGATTTCAGTTCTGCTCCTGAAACTGTGTGTCGTCCAGTTATTGGTATTGCTGTTGGGATATTGCTGTTATTTTACCTGCTGGAAACCTTGCCTGTGGATTTACTATTTACTTGTTCCTGAGCCTCACTTGGATTATAAGCGGAGATAACCTGGGGAATATTGCATCTCCGCTACAGACGTGTTAATATCATTGACAGAACCCCAAGAGTCACTACCTCAACTACTTGACCTACTGGATCATTATGGCTATCTTTCGGGATATAAAATCAATCGCGACAAATTGGTAGCAATGTCGCTGGGGATGGAGCAAAGGGACGTCGCCTGCATTGAATCCACATACAGAATAAAAACCACAACATACTTCATCAAATACTTAGGGGTCAGACTCACGGCAGACCCGGACAAACTGTACGCAGAAAACTATACCCACACTATCACAACACTTATGAGAGACCTAGAAAGGTGGCATGACAAGCCAATATCCTGGATAGGTAGGTTACATGCCATTAAAATTAATCTCTTGCCACGCTTGCTCTTCCTGTTCCAGGCTCTGCCCATAAAGGTGACAAAAAAGACCTAGGCCCCCTGCAAAATGCAATAGACAACTTCAAATGGGCTCAAAAGAGACATAGTGTGGCAAGGCAAGTACTACACCGCCCTAAGTCGAAAGGCGGCCTGGTGGTGGCTCTCTCTTTCCCTCACCCATTCTTTACACTCCTTCCCCTCTTCACTTTGACTTCTCTTGACCTTCTTTTCCCTGACCCCCTCAGGGCAGGGATACTAAAGTATCATGGCACCCCTGAACCACACCCCTGAACCACATGCATGTGCGCAGTGGGAGACGTGGATACAATAATTGTGCAACATGACCCAACAGCTTGAGAATCTACTCTGATACCTGTAACCATTCGCACTCGTTATAGCTGGTTAGGTATTTAGAGATGTGGTAGACACCGAACCCACTGATTATATGTTAAGGAGGAATGAACCAAGCTATATGAAAACCAGAGAGGAGATGACTCCACGGTGGAAACCCCATCCTCTAATTATGCAGCCCACAACTGATGCTTACGCAAACAGGGGTACTATTAACCTCTATCTCAAATGTATTAAGATCCTGTAACACTGCTTATGTTCAATAGCAGTTCTTAACCGTATATTTTTGTGAAATGTTGTAATGCTGAATCTTCTTTTCGGAGCCTGCGTGCTCCACTTCTATTCTGCGTTTCCTTATCCACGAAATATATCAATAAAATATGATTTTCACATTTGTTTTTAGCTTTCATTCATATTAAGTTATGTTTCATATATAAATATTTGATGAAATGAAATCCTTGTTTCTCCTGAAAAAAATGATCTTAAAATGAAAGAGGTAAATTATGGTTGCACAGACACAAATTCGTGGTTTTGTTTGGGTTCAGAACATTAAGTGACAATTAAGGGGTTAAGTGAGTTTAAATAACCACAGTGCTTCATTTGTCCACTTATCTAGCTTAAACAAGTTCGTACAGTGTTTGCTAAGAGTATGACCTATGCAGTGACTGCTAACATGCTTAACCCATAACCTTACCCAGCAGGGTTATTTAAATCTCCACCTCACATCCTGAGCTTTGCCAAGAGCTCTGCAAAAAGGGGGCTGGACTGTAATACTTATCCTGCTGATTGAGTGAAACAAACTTTTGTTACACGTCAGTTGTCAGGCAAGTTTGCAAGCCATGCAGGACTTCTAGGCCTCACAGAGGATTACTGTGTTTACTGAGGGTGAGTGATCTCTTATCTCTCTATGCAGATATATCACATATTTCATACTATCACTTTTTTTTTGTTTGTGTAACTCCCCCCCACGAGCATAGCTACATCATGAATATTCGCAAGATATTAAACGGATAAGAAAGCGATATCTAGCAGATAACGTGCGATAAACTGCACATTTTTGAAAATAAAAATAATTAGAGTCGAGATTAACACAACGCAGAGCGGTTATAACTAACGAAAATTAAGTAGAGCAGAATATATGCACTGAATGCCTATACAGCAATACCTTGTTTAAAAATTATATGAGAATTAAGTGTTAGACAGAGATTTCACTGTCATTTTTGTATGGATATAGACAATCAGATAAACAAGCGCCAGATTATACTTGTTGGCTGTATACAGCAGTGTATAACGCTTAAATTAGGTCTATGCTTGTTTCGTTACATAATCTATAATTCTAGGAAGCAATGCTGCAATTAGCCTTGATGTGGATCCACCTAGTTGTCGATATATATTAACTACCTCAGCTATAACCGGTGCTAGGTTTTCTAAATCAACCTCACTTAACGCAAACGAAAGGTAGAACAACTAGATTGCTTTTAAAAAAAACAAAAACCTGCAGTCTGAGCTATTTAGTTAAAGGATCACTATAGTGTCAGGAAAACAAAGTTAAAACCCCTTCAGCTACTTACCTTCATCCAGCGCCGGGCTCCTTGGTGACCTCTCTTCCCCCACCAACGTCAGCTCCCGAGTGGAGCGGAATGCGCATGCGCGGCAAGTGCCGTGGCCCCATTCTAACAGTCCATAGGAAAGCATTTCTCGGTGCTTTCCTATGGGCGTTCTGCACGCTGGATGCGAATTTCGCATCGAGCGTCGCAGATGCGCCTCTAGCGGCTGTCAGGAAGATAGCCACTAGAGGCTGGATTAACCCTGCTATGTAAACATAGCAGTTTCTCTGAAACTGCTATGTTTACATCTGAAGGGTTAAAACCAGAGGGACCGGGCACCCAGACCACTTCATTGAGCTGAAGTGGTCTGGGTGACTATAGTGTCCCTTTAAGTTGTAGGCAGGAGATATCACCTTGTCAGCCTATGCTCAAGCAAGGGATGGTGTCCTGCAAAATAAAAATTGAGAGTAAGTACGCAAACTTTAGAATAGGTGACATTTATAGAGCATATTTGTTCATGCTTCTGTAATGACTCATTTATTAAAATTCAAATTTGAAGAAATGCTTGTAGGGGTCCTTGAAATGGAACTCTACATTAGGTGAAAATCCAGCCAAAACTTAAAAGGGGTGCAGGGTGACCCATATGTTAAATCTATAAATTAAATTATTGGTTGCATGTAAAAAACAATCAATCACTAAATGTAACAGGTATAAAGTAAATCTCTGTTTTACTGTTATTAAGTTAAAATCTTTGCCCAATATCAAAAAAAGATTTCATTAAAAAAAAAGTATAAACGTTGGAAATCCAAAGTGAAATCAAAATGATATTAACATTTTAGACAACAATAGTAAAATATGGGGAATTTCTTAAAAAAGCATTGTCATTGGCCATTCGGATTTTTTCACAGTCACCCTTTTTTTTATTTTTTATTTCAGTTTGCTCAATTGTACTTTTTTTTTAAATTTTATTTTTTGGGAATTTGACTGACCGACCCTAGATCTCTCTCCATGCGGACGCCATGCTCAGTATCCTGGCAGTGACACATAGTATCTGCCTCTGGTTGCCCTAACTCTGATGCTATGGAAACTATGCTTTCCGCGCATGTCCATGAACCTAGAGGCAAAGTCAACTGCACTGGGAATGCGCGACACTCAGGAAAGGCTAGAGGATGGTGACTATAGACGAGGGATGTGACAGAGAAGTGAGTATTCAGGAAAATGGAACTTCACAAATCTTAACAAAGTAAGTGGAGCTTGCCTTATGCTCCACCATTCATCAAGCGGAGGAAAAATACATCACAAACTAATCCCTACTTAGTCTTATGTATTTTATGAGAAAAAAACAAAAAACAGAATAGAACAGATTTAGAAAGAGGAAGAGGAAATAATTGGAGATAGGTAGGTTTTGGGAGACACAGCCACTTTTGAAGTCATCTATGTTTTGAGTTTAACTATTTTGGCCAAAACAAATTTATATTCACTATGGATTCCTAACAATTCACACTTTAAAGGGACTCTCCAGGCAAACAATTTTACTCACCTGGTTCCAGCCTTGTGAAGCCGCGCCCCCTATTTTGTCAAAATGACGAAATAGGCGGGCACGAGCAGGGAGAAATCAGACGCTTCCATTTGGAATTGGAAGCATCATTGCTCCCTTGTGCACATGCGTGGCTTCGCCGCACATGCGCACATACTTCAGAGGGCGGCATTCATGCCGCCCTCTGAAGTCCTGAGCGCACTACCGCGCATGTGCGCGGTGTGCGCAGCCGCGAGCTGAGCTGACTGACTGCTCAGCTTGTGGTCTTTGCCTGCCCCTCTCCTCTGCTGACAGGCAGAAGAGAGAAGGCGCGCACACAGTGCCTTCTCTCTTCTGGACACGTCAACGTATTTTAATACGTCTGACGTGTACAAGGCCTTTTTAGGGCCCTGCATGATAGGAAGTCCCTCTGGTGGCCGCCTGAGTGACGGCCACTGGAGGTATTCCTATCAATCAATGTAAACACTGTATTTTCTCTGAAAAATGTTGTATATTTTTTTTCATTTAGTAAAGAACACATTAAAGCATGGGTCCTCAAACTGCCCCCCCGAGGTGTTGCTGAACTACAACTTCCATGATTCTTTGAATTACATAGCCAGAGAATCATGGGAGTTGTAGTTCAGCAACATCTGGGGGGCCGGAGTTTGAGGACCCATGCATTAAAGGAAAGACCGTAATGCATGTCCACACTTGTATTCTAATTACCACGAGTGGTTATGAAAAGGCCTTTCCCGGACTCCCCATGTGTAAGGACAACAAGCTCCAACAATTTGTTGCTGTGCTCAAGATGTAACCGAGTAAACTTGCAGAAGCCAGACACAGAGAGATGGATGCAGGTTTTCAGGAAGTAAGAGGTCTTTATTAACATACCGATCGGGTCTCAGATGAACTAACGTTCCAAAACAGGTCTGAGGGCCGAACACATGGGCATGGCTTAATATCATCAGAAAAAGGATTAGAGTAAAGATATAATTTAGAGGAGACCAATGCATATAGGGCTAGAGCGGAAATGGACATGAACCCAGATTATTTAATGTAACAACTTCCAAAAGCATTAAGAGTCCAACCCACAATTTTATGTTAAAACTTAACTTTTAATATTTAATTAGGTAAAAAAAAACACTTTTATATGAAGTGCAAGCAAATAATATCAAATGTGTCTAATACGAAATTTGTCTATAACAAATAAATAAAAGCAGCTTTAGGGTAAGGATATCCAATAATATGATCAATTACTCTGATATCATCTAGTATATGAATCCACTAACTGGCTATTAGACCAATCTCTGAGCTTTAGGTCACTTTCACTTAACACACATAGCTTATATGTAGAGATAATTCAACCATAAAGGAAAATTTGCATGTCAGGAAAAAAATTCAAAGCGGTTTAGGTTTAAAGCCAGGTAGGAAATTAGATTGTGAAAAAAGGGGCCGAGATAAGCGTCTGGTATTAGAAATGCTTGCAAAGGTGTCTGAGGGTGTGAAACTGATGTGGTTACTTGGGGAGGTAGGGGCAGCCGATGAGTGGTGCAGCGCAAGGGTATGTATCCTTACAGTAGGTCAGACAGAAGATGTGGGTAGGTGCATAATATGATGTGATTTATAGGAAAATCTGATTTTGACCTTCTAGTTTGAGAGCAGTATTTTTTTTTTATTTTTTTTTTTTTTATTTTTTTTTAGGTGTAGGATTTTTACCATGGGCTGAAGAAAAAAATATAGGGACACAGTAGATATTGCTGAACCGTAAAAGTTAGGAAGTGTTCGGAGGTAAAATAATAATATTATATAATCAGGTAATATTCAGATTTTCACACAGCAACATCAAAATTCCATCAAAGAGTTAACTTTTTTTTTTTTTTACAATTTGCCATATGACCTACATGTTTTATAATGAAGAAATATTGGCAAAGAAAAGCATGCAGTAAAGGCACTTTGTACTGTTATGACACCACCAGTGTAGCCTGGAATCTGGCTAGCAGCAAAAGGGGAGGAAAAATTGTGCAACAGTAATTCCAGGCAGATCTGAGGTTGAAAGGCCATAGGAACAAATACATGAAAAAGACTAGTGCTATTGCTAGAATACAAGTATTTGGGATCCTTTGACCAAGCATCATGATAAATTACACCAACAAAACCTTAAGAAATAGAGAAATTAATGGGTCGTTGGTCGTTCTATTAATTCTCACCCTTCGTGCACATGGGCTGTAGGAGTGGGGTGTAAGGCAATAACTTTTCTCAGGTTAAGAGTTTAAGGAATCCTTTGTTCAAAGTACTATCTTTCTGGCTTGAACCCTGGATTCTGTCACAACAGAATGAAACCAAACATTCTTCTTGTAACTATTTTCTGTCCCATGGTTCTATTTTTTTAATCTTGTCTTTATCCTCATATGATCCTGTATGAGATTATTTGAGTGTATTCGGTTTTCTAATTGCACGTAATGTACTTTGTTTAATTTTAGGTTGCATGGAGCTGATTTCAGTCTGTCTGGACAGTAGTGTTTGAAGCTTTCCATTGGACACTTGGCACGTGACATTGATATCATACATAAATCACAGAGGTACACATATCTCCTGAAATGTCCAGCTATCTTACTGCAGCCATACAGTCTGCTTTGCAGGCCTTCCCACGCCAACGCTTACTTTTGCTCTGGACAGCTGGTGTGGGGCTCACAGCTATTGCCACCTGGATGTGGTGGAGGAAAAAGCAAAGTGAGGAACTAGAATTGAAGCAAGTGGGAATTGTGTCCGAACTACTCATTTACCCCATCAAGTCATGTCGACCAGTGTCAGTGCAGGAAGCAGACTGCATGGAGCTTGGTCTATATAAAGGAGATCTTAGGGACAGGCATTGGTTGGTGGTGACCGAGGATGGGCATATGGTGACTGGCAGACAGGAACCTCGTTTGGTTCTCATCTCTGTGAGCGTGCGTGGTGACTCTTTGTGCCTTAAAGGTGAAGGGATGGATGAGCTCCTAGTTCCTATGTCACTTCCTAAAAGCAACAAGGTGCGGGACTGCAGAGTGTTTGGAAAGGACATCCAGGGTCGGGATTGTGGGGAAGAAGCTTCTCGCTGGTTCACATCCTATTTCCAAAGCAGTCAGCCCTACTACTTGGTGCATTTTGAAGAGAAGACAATGCGCCCACGCAAATCCAAAGACAGTGAGGTGCTGTTCAGAGATGTAGATGTTATTGCTTATAGTGATGCCAGCCCCATCATGCTTCTCTCTGAGACATCCATGGAGGATCTCAACAGTCGTCTCGCAGAGCCCATCTCCCTGAGGAATTTCAGGCCTTGTATAGTGGTGTCTGACTGTAATGCCTTTGCAGAGGATGCTTGGCATGACATCAGGGTGGGCACAGCTAGACTTAAAAGGATCATGGCATGTGGACGCTGTATCTTAACCACTGTGAACCCTGACACTGGAATTATAACACGAAAGGAACCGCTGGATACCTTAAGAACCTACAGGAAAAGTGATGCCGCTCTTAGCCATGTCTATAAAACCTCACCTCTCTTTGGGCAGTACTACGGCGTGGATAAAACTGGCACCTTACATGTGGGTGATCCAATATATCAGGTGATCCACAAGCATCAGCAGTGATCCTTTCACGGGAGCATCAAGACCAATTTAATTTTGTCTTGTCACCTAAAACACTTTATAGACTGAGCATTTTCCTAATAATTATCATGACAACAAAATTATTTTGATGATAACAATATTGAATAGCTGAAGAGAGGTGCTATTAATATAAAGAGTATGGGGATTATGAGGCTTAGTATGAACTGCCAATAGTCCTTGTATGGTTAATTTAGGCTTTGTTGGGTGTCGGGGCCAGACCATTGAGCTGACAGGATGCCATATTTCACAGTTCTGGTCTTAAGCTTTACAATCTGCTGCCATTCTACTTAGATGCTCTCATCACTTACTGACGCTATTTGGCATAAACAATCCTCCATAAACATTTTGCTAAGCTTTTTGTGAAGATTACTCTTTGCGAACTCTGTGTACAACAGTGCTGTCCAAAAGGTAGATCCTCAGATGTTTTAAAACAGCTTCCATAATGCTTTGCCATTCTAAAGGCATGCACGCATCTTGGGAGTTCTAGTTCTACAACATTTAGAGATCTACAGTTTGGGCAGCCTTGGTTTACAACCTCTTAGGTCCACTGCTCACTGTGAGACCTGTAATTTGGTTACTCTCTCAGTAAGATGATTCCACTTCTGATTGATATAGCTGTGAACAAAATTAGTGACAGAAACCCTGCTGATGATCGGGCCTCTGGTAGACTGGTAGTTGGGAGTTGTGTGATGCTCAACTCAGAAAAGTGGCCGGCAATGGAAGAGTCATTTGGGGGCTCTTGTAAATCTACGCTGGGACTTTATTGGCAAAGTGATGGTACAGGAGGCTGGAGTGCGGGGGCCAAGCTCGTCAGATAAATTTCCAATGGGCCAATGTGCTACAGATGATCAGAGTGTCTGGACTAGATTCTAGAGTTCTGGTCACTGCTCACTAAATTCTATAATGTTACCCTGTTGTGAATATAATTTGCCCTTTATTTTTCTGAGTCTGGTGGAACAACGCTGCTCCTAGACAGTATTCACTATGTTATGCAGACAAGTGATATACCACTAGCCGCGCATGCCAGGATTCAGGTCTTCTGGTTTGCTCTGGGCAATTTTTTGTTTGCTCACTGGGGCATATTAGAACTTCAAGCAGGCTATTTCTTTTCCTTTCCCGTATTCAGTCAGGACCCTTTCCTTCTTTCCTTTCTTCTCTTCTGCTTCATTTTTCTCTCCCTTCACACTTTTCTTATTTGGCTACTCAATCCTTTTCTATAGCATATGACTTAACTTGTATACAAAGCACAATATTTCTTGTCGCTTTGATATGGCAACGCCTAAGGTCTTTCTTAACTGGAAGTATGTCAATGTCTCTTATTCTTAAGCCATCTTTTAGACCCAAGACATGACATATAAGCTCTCTCATACTATTTACTATTTTCTACTAATCTATATCTCTTTAAACCAATATATATCATATTGTTGTAATTTGTAACAATTGTTATTTGCATTATACAATAACCTGCTGCTTATATGTACATGACATTTCATATTACCGTTCATGACATATGCCATATCTACCAATAAACTTTGAATTATTAAAAAAAAAATGTAGTTTTGTTGGTAACACAGACACTTTAAGATATCTTGCTCTTGCAGTGACGAAGTGGAAAGAGCAGTAGATTAAATATGCACTCACAGGATTTTAGATGTACTGAAGTTAGGATGGTATAGTCTGAAGTCCTGAATATGTAATTTAATTATTTTACTACCAAAACTCTGTAGAAACATGTAGTAGCTACAGGGCCGATCCTCCGCTGGTGCACTTCGCCAGGCAGAAGGGGGCAGCGCGGAGATAGAAGCGAGCCAGTACCGGAACTACAGGGCAACTTAGGTCACTCACCAAACTGGCACTTGTTCATTTTTGCAGAATAGGCATCTGCCAAGATATACTGGTGGGGAGAGAGGCAGCAGACGGCAGCGAGGGAGAAATTATGTCCTTGCTGTTCCTCACTACTCCCTCGCCCTATGCAGAGATGCCAAGAGCCAGAACATGACATCACTCTGTGAGTATGTGTGCAAGAATGTGTAAATATGTGAGTGTGTGTCTGTCAGTGAGTAGGTTTCAAATCAGTAAGAGAGTGTCTGTCATTGAGAATGTGTGTCAGTGTGTCTGTCAGTGATTGTGTTTCTCAGTGTCTGATTGCAAAAGGGGATGGGGATTATAGATAGAGAGGTTGAGTTGTTGCCATAGAAAGATGCATGTATAGACTGAACATATGTAAACGGGAGGAGTTAGTAAAGGTGGCCAGGCCCACACGGGGGAACCAAAAATAGATTCTGCACCCAGACATCTGTGACCCTAGGATCAGCTATGTACAGCTAGTTATAGTTTATAGTACAATATACAATTTAACAAGCGCACACAATGTCAGGATTGGGGTAGGAACCAAATCACATAGACCCTGAACACAACATAGAAGAGACTATCTGTGTACCAGTCCTTAGAGTAATAGCCAAGGTCAAGGATGGGGGGAAACAGGATAAACGAATACAAGCCAAATTAGAGCAGTACAGAGGCCAGGATAAACAATAAAAAAAGCCATCCTATGCAGCACTGACCCAGGAAGCACCTCTAGTGGTCACCTGAGGAGTGACCACTGGAGGTGCCCCTAGGCTTTAATGTAAACACTGCCTTTACTTTGAAAATACAGTGTTTGCATGAAAATGCCTGCAAGGACTGTCTATACTCATCAGAAAAACTTAATTGAGCGGCAGCTTCACTTAACCCTCCTCTTTAATTTCATACCCCCCCTTTTTTTCATAACCCATCTTTTGAATGTTTTACGCCCTTTAGTGTATATTATGCCCTTTTTGTGTCTTACACCACCTTTAGTGTATCTTTGTAACGAGAATATACCCCTACACGCAGGATCCAGCTAAACAGAGGCAAATACAGAGGAGAGATACGTCTACCGGACCTTAGAATGGCCGGACTCGACGTATATGAGAGGAGACAGAGCCAGGAATAAACCG